TAGGATATTCTATAGACAGGGAAGTTTACAAAAAGACTACATCCACTAGGATATTCTACAGACAGGGAAGTTTACAAAAGACTACACCCACTAGGATACCTTGTCTGTAGAATATCATAGTGGGTGTAGTCTTTTGTAAACTTCCCTGTCTGTAGAAGGATGTAGTCTTTTGTAAACTTACTATGATATTCTACAGACAAGGAAGTTTACAAAAAGACTACATCCACTATGGTATTCTACAGACAGGGAAGATTACAAAAAAAACATCCACTAGGATATTCTACAGACAGGGAAGTTTACAAAAGACTACACCCACTAGGATATTCTACAGACAGGGAAGTTTACAAAAGACTACACCAACTACTAGGATATTCTAAAGACAGGGAAGTTTACAAAAGACTACACCAACTACTAGGATATTCTAAAGACAGGGAAGTTTACAAAAGACAACATCCACGATAATATTCCACAGATAGGGAAGTTTACAAAAAACAACATCCACTATAATATTCTACAGACAGGGAAGTTTACAAAAGACAACACCCACTAGGATATTCTACAGACAGGGAAGTTTACAAAAGACAACACCCACTAGGATATTCTACAGACAGGAAAGTTTACAAAAGACAACACCCACTAGGATATTCTACAGACAAGGAAGTTTACAAAAAGGCTACATCCACTATGATATTCTACAGACAAGGAAGTTTACAAAAGACAACACCCACTAGGATATTCTACAGACAGGGAAGTTTACAAAAGACAACACCCACTAGGATATTCTACAGACAGGGAAGTTTACAAAAGACAACACCCACTAGGATATCCTACAGACAGGGAAGTTTACAAAAGATTACACCTAGTATTGTATTCTATAGACAGGAAAGTATGAAATCTAACTGTCCTTACAAGTCTAACAGTTGAAGTCTGATAGAACAAAGAAATGGTTAAAATTGCTGTAAATGAAAGAGAAATACGTACTGAATGTTCTGGCCAACCGACCTTAGTTGGTGATTGACCCTTAAACTGCCAACATCTTTTATTGTATTTATAAAAAATTATACATTATTATTATTTCTTTTCAAAGAGTACAAGGACATTCCACCTATCTGTATTGAATTCTACATACATATTTTACATAAACTTCGTAGTAAAACACAATACAATATTTTCATTTCAATTACAAGCAAAACTTATCAGTTTTGCACCATACATAACTATCCATTCTAAATAATGTCAGTCAAAGATTTCCTTACTATCAACAATAAGTGTAATCTAATAACTTTAAATTTGAAAATACATTTTTACAAATGGTATAAAAATTTATCATTTATCTTTAGTTACATCAAAACTTAGGTAAAATAAATTACTGATGCCATAGACATGTTGTCCTAAGAACAATCAAGCCTTTCTCAGAAAATGTCTAATTTTAATGTATAGTCATTGGACGACTAAGCTTGAATCATGCTTGTGACGAACTTCAATATGGTGTCGCAGTTCATCCCTCCTAGTTGAGGTGAAATTACAAAAGGTGCAGCGAAATCTCCGTTCTCCTCGATGTAGTCTCATATGCCTGCTTTTGTTTCCTTGAGATGAAAACACTTTATGGCAAAGTTCGCAAGTCCTAGCTCTCAGAAAAGTATCTGAAAATAAAATGTGATCGAATTTTAAAAAAACATTCATTGGCAATGTTCACAAGTCCTATCTGTCAGAAAAGTATCTGAAAATAAATGTATTTCATTTATAAAAAAATATTATGGCACAGATCGCAACTTCTAGCTATCAGAAAAGTATCTGAAAATAAAGTGTAGTTGATTTATTATAAACACTTTGTGGCAAAATTACAAGTCCTAGCTTTCAAAAATATATCTAAAAAAAATGTTTGATTTATAAAAAAAAAACACTAAGGCAAAGTTCACAAGTTCAATCTCTGAAAATGTTTTAGAGATTTAAAAAATAACTTTATAGCAATGTTCACATGCCCTAGCTCTCACGAAAAAAAAAATTGTAGAATTATAAAAAAAAAACTTTAAGGTAAAATTTACAAGTCCTGGTTCTCAGAAAAGAACTGAAAAAAATTGTAGAATTATAAAAAAAACCTTTAAGGTAAAGTTTACAAATCCTGGTTCTCAGAAAAGAAAATTTGTAGAATTATAAAAAAAACCTTTATGGAAAAGTTCACAAGCCCTGGCTCTCAGATAAGAATCTGAAAGCAAAATATATTAGATTTATAAAAAAATTTACACACTGTTAATTTCAATTTCTGATTAATATGAAGAAACAGAAAACTTTATTATTAAAATTGATGTTACTGATAAATTTCCCTTCTATAATAAGTATCAAAGTTCATATGTCTACACTTTATAAAGCTATACTTACTTGTTTTGTATCTACTTATTCCAATAAGCTGTGCTGTTGGAACAAGGTTACCATTAACTAAAAACCATTACCTCTGTCTTGTACAGATGTATCCATAAGGAAGCGAGTAACAAGCTAAACTGTTGTTGCACAATGATATTAGATATAATGTTGTGTTTTTAATGTTTAAAACATCATTGAAGACTGGAACTGATGATGTCAGCAAAAGTAGTGTCATTAACCTAGAAAAGACAAATCATATGTATGTACGGACTGGGCTGTTCAACGTGAACTTTCTGCCAAACCAATGGACGTTACTTTGAAGACAGCCTACATTTTTGGTGCCAGACAAATACACTCACAAGCTAGAAAAGAACACAAAACTGAGAACTTTGTATTTGAATAACCTTAAAAGATAACCTTCTACAGTGGTGTACGAAGAAGTTGCAAAGTGGGGGGTGCTTGGCTATACATGCACATTTTACAAGGAGAGGTTGAAAGTATAAGGAGCAGCTCAATCTAGAGGGTTTGCACCCCAGAAAATGAATATAATAACTTACAGTTGCATATATAAAAGTGGGGGTGCAACGGCATCCCAGGTTCCGATGTCTATAAACTAGTAACCTCCAAACTAGCACATTTCAAGAACAGGTATTTGACATTCATTCCCAAAGGAAATGTCAAATACCTGTTCTTGAAATGTGCTAGTTTGGAGGTTACTAGTTTATAGCTTAATGTTGCTGTATGTATAAAGTTTACTGTTTGCCTAGAGCTTAACATGTTGTATATATCATTCCCAAAGGATATGTCAAATACCTGTTCTTGAAATGTGCGAGTTTGGAGGTTACTAGTTTATAGCTTAATGTTGCTGTATGTATAAAGTTTACTGTTTGCCTAGAGCTTAACATGTTGTATATATCATTCCCAAAGGATATATCATTCCCAAAGGAAATGTCAAATACCTGTTCTTGAAATGTGCTAGTTTGGAGGTTACTAGTTTAAAGCTTAATGTTGCTGTATGTATAAAGTTTACTGTTTGTCTAGAGCTTAACATGTTGTGTATATTATACAACATGTTAAGCTCTAGGCAAACAGTAAACTTTATGCATACAGCAACATTAAGCTATAAACTAGTAACCTCCAAACTAGCACATTTCAAGAACAGGTATTTGACATTTCCTTTGGGAATGATAAATACAACATGTTAAGCTCTAGGCAAACAGTAAACTTTATACATACAGCAACATTAAGCTTTAAATATATGGCAATGTTAAGCCTGATACGTACAGCATGATAAGCTATATATTTAGATAAATTATAATCTTTAAATGTACGGCATTGTTCACTCTTATATATATGTATATAGAACAATGTTAAAGTGTTTTGTTAGAAATAAGAACTACAACAAAATGGGTCAAAAGATATTTATTCACAAGGAAACTTCTGAAAAGACTGTTTCAACAGAATCAACACCAGAATGTAAGTATCATTCATACTGTTATACAGTGCCAGTTCCTATATAATTGTATTAACTCATTGTACAGACTATATAAATAAAACAATGGTAAAAAATGAGCAGTGTTTTTATACTGTCAGAAACTTCCTCAATAATGCAACTGTTCACTGTATTCATCTTGATGGCGAACTTTTATATGACTACGGAGTGCATCCCTTCGAGTGGTTGTAAACGTACAAATGCTGCAACGAAACTTCATCTCTAGACGGTGTAGCCTCATGTGTCGACTTTTATTTCCACTAGAAGAAAATACCCTCAAGCACAAAGGACAAGTTCTAGAATGTAAATCCAGAGGTTCCATTTCTGTAAAAATATAGTTCATTCAAGACTGACAGCTGTGTAATTTGTAATGTACAATTAAAATAATATGAATTTATATTTACTTTCTGTTAGGAGAATTATACAAATTTTGTGGTCAACTAAAAAAAATTATCTTATCAATGTATAAAACTATATTTGTATAATACGTAATATATTAACATATAATGGCATCGAAAATATTCTAATTTGATAATTAGTATTTTATATTTGTCTATTTGATGTGTTATTTTAAATGATGAACAAATGTTACAGTTTTACAGTACATCAATGCACACATATCCCGAGACACATAAGCTCCAAATCCATAATATATAACACTAGCCTCTAACAAAACATTAATTACTTCATATCAGTATACAGGGTATAATAAGATAATAGATTACCTCCCAATAGATGTCTCTCCACAAACATTTTACAAGGACATGGGAAAATATTTCTAGGTTTTATAGTGAAACAGTTTCGTGCACAAAAAAATCTCGTCTAAACCTCAACTGACTGAACACGCTGTATTCATGGTAACATAATTTTATCACACAACTTCAAACAAAACATTGCTTTAACTTTTACTAGACATTTTTATACTGTTACACTGTACATGCCCTTATTAGAAAATGTAACAGCTCAAAATGCCATTATTAAACAATGTAGCAGTTCTATATGCCCTTATCAAACAATGTAACAGTTGTACATGCCATTATTAAACACTGTAACAGTTGAACTAGCACTTATTAAACAATGCAACAGTTGTACTAGCACTTATTAAACAATGCAACAGTTGTACTAGCACTTATTAAACAATGCAACAGTTGTACTAGCCCTTATTAAACAGTGTAACAGTTGTAAAAGCCCTTATCAAACAATTTAACAGTTGTAAATGCCCTTATTAAACAATGTAACAGTTGTACTAGCCCTTATTAAATAATGTAACAGTTGCACTAGCCCTTATCAAACAATTTAACAGTTGTAAATGCCATTATTAAACAATGTGGCAGTTCTACATGCCCTTATTAAACAATGTGGCTGTTGTAAATGCCCTTATTAAACAATGTGGCAGTTCTACATGCCCTTATTAAACAATGAAACAGTTCTACATGCCCTTATTAAACAATGTGGCAGTTCTACATGCCCTTATTAAACAATGTGGCAGTTCTACATGCCCTTATTAAACAATGTGGCAGTTCTACATGCCCTT